TGGCAAAGTTGGTGGCCCTCCTACTCAGGTTCCTGGATGCCAGTAGGAGTGGCACAAACCTCCACAGAAGCCTACTTGTAATTCCAGTTCAGATTTGACACAAAACTATTCGGTAGGGGGGGGGGGTGCATGGCCTTTCTCTTTGATCAATGTAGGTTTCGTATATTGTTCTTGGAAGGAGGTCCACTAACTCCTCATAATTTCAAACGCGAAGTGATCCCATCCTAGGTCCTTGGTTGAGCACAGGTTTCACGTCCTCTCCATAATTCTAGGTGCAAGCAGAATACTCCTTCCCCATTTGGTTGGGGCGTGAGGATGAATGTTCATAATTCCAGATTGGATGACTTCTGTTCCTTTGGTTGAGTACAGCATATATGATCCCGTCATTCCGAGCCTTGGGTGTTGCCTTTTGGACTTCTTCAGGTAGAGGAGAAAGTTTGTCCACTTCAGTATTGCTTACTTTCTTGTTGTGATTCTGGTGGTGTGAAACGCATCACCCTATGGCTACAGGTTGGGATCCAATCAAAAGTATATATATTTATAACATTACAGTCCAATAGCCCTATCCACCAACATGGGATATAGGTACCACAACCCATTAATTCCAACCCCAAGTTGTGGAACCTCAGCTATCTGGTAGGTCTGGCCTATACTGATGATTACTCATATTCTATTCCACCTTTGATATTGGGACTGAATTCCAGGTGAAGAGCATATCTCTTCTGGATGTAGTGTAGTTCCCCCACTCTTGTACCATCTTTATCTTGGTACACTCCTGTTCTATACAGACACTTTCTGTATGGTTCATGCCTGCACCGGCCCCTCCTCCTTCTCAATGTTGGATTCTAGCTATATTGTCAGCAGAGGTAAGAATGTTTTGGAAGTTAACATTTTCCTAAACTGAAAATATATTTCCAATAATACTTATCTCTGCTTACATTCTCACGCCCTACCTCCTCACTAAAAGCCGGTTTATGTCTCAAAAAAAAGTGATTAATTTATCTGAATGAGGTGGTTATATATACAGTACCTAGATAGAGGGTGCATTGAAGTTGGTGGAGAATTTTGCAACCTAGAATTTCCCCGGGGCATTCGAGTGGCAAGTAGCAAGTATTTTCAATGCTTAGATGGGCAAAGAAGGAAACCCTGGAGACCAAGAAATAGCTATGGTGTCAGTATTGTAGTATTGGAAATCTATTTTCAGTTTAGTAAAATGTTAATTTGGATACAGAGGGCCACACTTAACAAGAATAAGTATATGTGTGAAATGGTGTAAGTACCTATTGGAAATACATCTTCAGTGGATGAAAATTAGAACTTTCATCTCTCAATCAGTTTCTCAGTCTTCCTCGATTTACCATGGTAACTTTTCTCCCCTTTTAGTGGTTTCTTGCTCTGTGGTTTTGATTGACAAAGGTGGATGTCTCTGATGATTATATTCACATTTCCATCTTTTTTTGAATATATTATTTTAAAACAAGTGGTTTGTGTGCTGACCATTTATTGTTCGAACTTATCGCCAACGTGTCACAGACACCTACTGGAAAAAATCCTAGCCCATATACAAAATCTGACAGTCTCCCCAGAATCCAGACTTTATCATTGGTTTACTTATAGAGGTCAGGTTTATCAGTTCTGCACTCTCTCTTTTGGCCTGGTGTTGGCTCTCTACACCTTTTATTGAATGGTGCATATGCTTTCTATTGTCACATTAATGGTTTGGGAGTTTGGTTTCCATTATGTGGATGACTTGCTTCTTTTAGCTCTGTCACGACAGGACTCTTATGACTATACTCTTCTCCTTCTTCATGGGGTGGCTAATCTTGGCTGGTTATTCAAGCTGAAGAAGTTTCATTTCACACTCACCCAACATCTGGTTCACTTGGGTGTGTTCTACATAACATATCTTGGAAGAGCTCAGCCTACCCCATTTCTTTTGTGGGCCATGGAGAGTTTGGTTTCCACAGCTCTATCCTCTCCCTTGCTTCCTGAATGTGATGTTCTCTCTTTTGAGGACTTTGGCTTCAATGGAACCACATATTTTCCTGGGACATGCTCACATGCATCTTTTGCAGTAGACTGTGCAAAATCAATAGAGCCTCTCTTGGGAACCCTTGTCTTCCTCATTCCCTATACAATGATTTCACTTGGTGACTCAACAGATCCAATACTACAAAAGATGTTCCTCTTCCTCTCTCTCATACAAATCTTCATCATTTTACTGATGCTTCCCTGCAGGATTGGGCACTTGTCTCATCCTGTCAATGAAACTTGGAGGAATGTACTCTTCATATCAACTTTTTTTAGTACTTATCAGACTTTTGATCCTTGGATCATTTCCTTCCAGTCATATGAGGCCATTTGTAAATTTTGTAAATTTGTGTTTATTCTTCATTATTTAATTTTGTTTATAAAGTTGTTAATCTTTACAACACTTTACAACACTCTCACTCTTTCTGTTTCCAAACTCTCAACCTCCTCTTCTTGGCCCATTCTCTACATGTTTGCTTATTGGTCTCGATTATTGCTGGTTACCAAGCAGCTCTTTGTACTACTTTACTGTTTTCCCATTTCCATCAGGTTTTTTTTCTCTCCAGTCCTAACTATGCTTTTCCATTCCTTCCTCCATCTTCACCCTTCCAAATTGGGATTCTAATGTTCTCATGCCCATACCCTTTCTCCATTTGAACCTTTGGCTTCCTGTTCTTTGTGC